TAATTTTCAGTTTTTCAATTTATTAACTTTACGATACTTCAGTTTTGCTCGATTTCGATTTCTGAATTTTTCGACATATTACTGTTGGGATTTTTCAATTTATCGATTCTTCATTTCTCAATTCTTCATGTTTTCGATTTCTCAATTTCCCGATGTTTCAGTTTTACGATTTTTAAATTTTTTTATTTTTCAGTTTTCAATTTTTGACGTTTCTAAATTTTGCGATTTCTCAATTTTTCGATTAACTGATTTTTTGATTTTTCCATTTCTCTATTTCTCGATTTTTCAATTCTTTCTTCAATTGTGATTTTTCAATTTTTCGATTTCTGAATTTTTCAATGTTTCAGTTTTGGATTTTTTCACTTTTTCGATTCTTCAATTTTCTTTCCATTTTTCAGTTTTTCAAGATTTCAGTTTTGAATTTTTTCACTTTTTCGATTTTTCTATTTTCCTTCAATTTTTCAGTTTTTTAGTATTTCAGATCTGTGATTTTGCAATGTTTCGGTTCTTCAATTTTTCCATTTTTTGATGTTTCGATTTCTCGGTTTTTCAATTTTTCGATAGGTGTTTTAATTTTTCAATTTTTAAGTTCTAGATTTTTCGTTAGTTTTTTGTTTTGCTTGATGTTTTGATTTGTCGATTATTCGATTTTTCAAGTTCTCGGTTCAGATTTTTTGGTTTTCCAATTCTTCGATTTTTAAATTCTTTAATTTTTAGATTGTTCAATTTCTCGATTTTTCGGTTTATCGATTTCTTTTTCATTTAAAGTGTTTCAATTTTTCAATTATTATCTTTTCGATTTTTCAATTTTCGTCGAATTTGATTTCTAAATTTTTTGATTTTTTGACTCCTCTACTGTTGATGTTTTGATTTCTCGATGTTTCAGTTTTTGAACATTCCGATGTTTCGATTTTTCGACTTTTTGGCTTTTCGAGTGTTCAATTTTTTGATTTTTGAATTTTAGATTTTTGGTTTTTTGATTTTTTTGGTGTTTCGATTTCCCAATTCTTCAATTTTTCGATATTTTAATTTTTCAGTTTTTCGAATTTTTAAATTTTTGATTTTTCTTTTCTTTTATTTCTCAATTTTTGGATCTTTTAAATTTTACATTTTTCGACTTTACTATTTTTTGATGCTTGGATTTCTCAATTTTTCAAGTTTTCAATTCTCAATTTTCCAGGATTTGAATATTGAGAACGTTTCAATTTCTGGATTTTCGATTTTCAGATATTTTAATTTTTTTATTTTTTAATTTTTCGATTTTCCGATTTTTAAAGCTTTTGATTTTTCGATTTTTCCGATTTGTTGTCTATTTTAAGTACATTTCATTTTTCAATTTATAGTTATTGGAAGGAAATGTTATTTAAATGTTAAAAAGTAGCATAGTCCTGAACTTGTGGTTTATAATAGTATATTATTAGCCAAGATTGCAAAGCCAAGCATTCTAGACCGAGCGCAAATTAGAACCCGAGACGCGCAGCGTCGAGGGCTCTGAAGCGCGAGGTCTAGAAGTGGCTTTGCAACCGTGGTTAATATACTATTTTTTTCACTAGTAGAAACCATAAGACAATAAATTGAAAAAATAAACGTTCAATTTTTCGACGCAACATGATTTTGTTTTGATTTCTAATCAAACTTAATCTAAATCTTCAACACAAAGAAAACCGTTTATACTTGTCGCTGAATTAATCATTTATCTTCTACCGCCTACCAACTATCATGCGTGTACTCAAGTAATGTTTGTAGCACACATTTGTTCATTTCTTAAGAAATAATCACATCAAACATTACGTACATAACCTCAGTTTTTCTTTTTGAACCGGTGGTCGCAAAAGTTGAATTTGCTACCTCTAAATGAGTCGACATTTGCATGCGTCATGGCTGCTAGTGAAAAAATACATTATTGAGATTATTCGGCTTTTCGATTTCTCGATTTTTCAACTTTAGATGATTCAACTTTTCAATATTTCAATTTTTCCATTCTTTAAATTTTCGGTTTCTCTCTTTTAACTGTACAAATAAGCAAGACATTTATAATACATTAATATCTAGATAGGTATTTATGTATTTGTAAAACTTACAACAAAAAATAGAAACATTTCTAACTAACAGTATATTTATAATAAAGCAGACTCCAAACGCAAAAACAAAATTTTTCATAAATTGATGTGGGTGTTTTGATTTTTCGATTTTTAAAGTTTTTGATTTTTCGCTTTTTCTATTTTAAATATATTTCATTTTTCAATTTGCGCCTTCAGCGGGAGTATTATTTGTTGTGCTGCACTTGACGGGCGAGGGAAGTTCTGTCGAAATAACCTTCGACCAATTTTTATACTTAGCACGTAGGGTTCTTACTAAGCATTCCTTATCTAACCGAACAGCTATTAATTTAACTAAGCAGCTATTATTTCACCAAGCATATATTATTTTTACTGAAAATTTATTTTTTAACTGAGCATTTATTATATAACTTACAGAGCGTTTAAAAATAGAACTGTGCATTTAATTTGTTCCCTTATCTAAATAACAAGAAAACGGTATTAATAGGCGAATAAACTAACAGACGGGTTTGATAAGCGTTGTTTGCTCAACAGTGTCTAAATTTTGTTTGAATAATATAATAATTATCTCGAATATTAAAATTAATATGTCAAAAGAATACGGGAAATGGTTATTCTGTGCTGAAGGTATGTTGTGGGCCGCCTGTCATAAATTACCATTATTCTTCATTATCGGCTTACGATGTTTTTATGACCCGCGTCCGGTAGTCGTCTATCTCAGCGCGTCAGGTAGATTTAAAGAAGAATTGCTGGTTGCGTTTAAGGCAACAAATGGCGTCCAATTCAAACTTGTCTCTCGTATAGCGTTCCCATACTCTTTCGTATTGCTAATTTCCTGATAGTCGAGGAGCCCCAATCGTGTGGATAGCACCGTCCCATTCGTTGCATCGCGATTTAAGCGCCCCACACCTCCTCAAATTTCTGTTAACCTGATACTCAATGAACTGGAGACGTGCGAACAGCACCACTATAAACACGTCAGTGGCGAACTTTACCCGCAACATCTTCTCTATTTTCTGTTAGCCTCGTACAAAGACGGTCCCACACTTACGAATGGTAACGTGCAGGACCACCGAAGACCGATCCCTCCATGACGGATCATAACTTGACCACCTTTTTACGTTCCTACTATCCTGATATTCACTAAGCCCCAGTTGTGCGAAAACACTACTGCAATATCCAAAAACCAACTAACGAGTGCTTGAGAAAAATATGTTATAAATTTTATTATTGTTGTTGTTGTCATAGAATTTATTGCTTTTTACGTTTTTATCATCTAGAAACGCATTTCTAGGTACTAGTAACTATTTGATAAAATTGAGGTTGATATACATAGATGTAGTAGATATTTAAGAAAATATAAATCGACTGAAATAGTTTTAATTTTAAAGTGTGTAAAAATGTAGGAATGGACTTTTAATAAAAAACATAAAGGTATTGTCTGTGTGTGTCAATTTTTATTACATAGGTGATCTCCGAAACTACTAGACTGACTATTGTGAAATTTTAGACGTATTTTAAGAATATTGTGTGGATGTTAAAAACATTATCAGAATATCAGAACATACTTAACTTCGATTTTTATATTTATACATAGAAAGAATGCGACTCTTAAGCACCAAGCTGTTTCCACGACTGTTATCAATTAAGTTGCAAAGTGTAAAATTGATTACTTAGATGGAATTTTATAAAATAAATTTGAAGGAACAGGACTTCATCCATTCTTCCTTCTTTTCTGCGTTCCTAATAATATCGGGTTTTGGTTTGCGCGGATGGCACCAGCACTCATCCAAGAAATAAAAGACTACCGCCTGGTCATGTTCTCCTGATGCCCGAGACGAACAGCTTCTTAAACACTCCCACGCTGGTGTTAATTAGAAGAGGGAATGAGGAAATGGAGGATTTGCCGATTCAGCAGGAGAGGGAACAAAGCGCTTATTACAAAACTGAAAACTTAGCTAAGCTCTTATCATTCGTTCTTTTATCAGCACGCCCAAGTGTATTTATTGCATTGATATCATAGAAAGAGCTCATTTGTGCACGATGCATTGTGCGAACGTGTGCGAAAACTTTCCTCTGGTTGTTGTTGCGCCTTATTTAATTTTCCGATTTTCATCGATTAGGCCCATGTGTGTTTCCCAACTAGGCCACATATGAAAATCCACCATTCGTGTTTTCTGATCTCCTGCTACTCATATGGATTTGATTTCCAATAAATTCACGCATGAGTGAGTTTCATCCAAAAAAAAAGTATGAACGGATTACCAGACTCTTTCTTACCTTTTGTTCCTAGTTTTCTGCCGTTGGATTTTATCTTAGAAACATTAAGAACGCGGTTATAATTCTTATCTGTCTTGATTCTCTAATCAGACAATAATATGGTTTTATTTTTTGTATAAAAACTATAATTACATTTCTGCTTTTTTTTCTTATTTATGTTTTTATTGTTAAGAAAATTATAGTTCATTCTTGATGCGTGAGTGTATGTAGTTAGTGCACCTGCTACGTATGCATAGAAGTAACATGGTGAGTGGTATGGAATGTGTGTACTTCTTCGATCTTCTACGATCCTGTTATTTCGCGGGCCTCATTCTGCAATGTCTGCAGGTGGTAGTTGTGTGGCGGCCATGACAGCGACCTGATGACCTACATTGGTGGTTACATTGTGCTGCGACTTTCTGGGAGAAAATAGCCCGATTTTTTAAGCCTGCACTGGTTGAAGATGTTGAACATATTTTAACTATATTTTTGAAATTAAACGTTTTTAGTCCACTTGTTGTAAAATTGTCCCTATGCGCTTCTTCGTGAGAGTCTATTTTCATTAACCACTGACTTACAGATAAATATTCACATGAACAACGACAGTGAGATCAATCAGTTTCTTCAATTTTTAAATTTTGCAATTTTTTTACAGTTTCGGTCGGGAAATGAAAACCAAGATGCTTGCACATAATCTATTTTTATCTATTCCTTTTACAAAAATTACAACTCAGCATGAGATTTCTTCTTTGCATTCAGCCGTGCGCTAATCCTCCTTCCCAGTTCTTCATCAACCTTTGCAAAATTCTTTATGGCCCTTTTTTGTAAAAAATCTGCAGTGGTCTTCAAGGTCTCAACAATATTGTCAACCAAACGAAGCCTCTGGTCCTCCTCCATAACGTTATGGTAGAGTCTCTTCGCCTGCCCATAATTATCCCATGCTTCTCCTCCGTTATCGAATCTCCCCTTGTCCCCAGCAACTCTCTCTGTCGGTGCGAATTTTTTTCCCCTAGAACTGGCATCGGGTCCTCCAAAACTATTAGGATGGTAATTGGGTGCACCTCCTTGATTATCTAAGGTCATGAACCCATCCCTGCTAAAATTATGAGCTTGGAAGGGGGCATTCACTGGGAGCTGTAGATGGTTGGCCCCCAAACGATACCTGTTGAACGATATTGCAATACTATATACATTTGCTACTTTTTTCTATACCTGTGGGTATCTCCGTATGCGAAAAGTCTCCCTTGCAGCATCCTATCTGCTGTGGCTCCAATTCCCGGGGGTAGATGAGCCGGGTCGAAACCCAACTGTTCAATTTCTGCGAAGTAGTTTCGAGGATTTTTGTTCAAGACGAGTTTGCCAACAGGGATGAGAGGGAATTGGTTGTGAGGCCACACTTTGGTAACATCCAAAGGGTCGAAATCACTCGCAGCAGCTTCCTCGCTGGTCATTATTTGGATATAGAAGGACCAAGAGGGAAAGTTTCCTGTGGCGATGGCGTTGTAAAGATCGCGAAGGTGGTAATCGGGATCTTCGCCTGCGATGCGTTTGGCTTTTGTCGAGTCCATGTTGCGAATACCTTGGTTGGTCTTGTAATGGAATTTGCAGTAACAGGATTGTTTGTGTTCGTTAATGAGGGTGAAGGTATTGGAACCGAAGCCGTGCATGTGACGGAAACTGGCAGGAATACCTTTGGAACAATGTACAACCACACAATAAAAATACATTGAAAGTACAAAAACATTCTTTACCTCTATCCGAAAATAAAATCAAAACCTGATGCATCATCTCCTCTCTCAAAGTCGCCATGTCCCAAAACATATTCCAGTCCCTCAAATGCGTCACAGGATTCCTCTTCAAAGCATGGATAAAACTCGGGAACAAGATCGCATCTCGAATAAAAAAGACGGGCGTGTTATTCCCCACCAAGTCCCAAATCCCATCTTCTGTGTAAAATTTCACAGCAAAACCTCGAACATCTCTTACAGTATCCGGATATCCCATCTCTCCAGCAACTTGTGAAAAACGTATAGCAATAGGTGTTCTTTTTCCGATGTGAGCGAAAACCTTGGCTCCTGAGTACTGGGTGATGTCATGGGTTACTTCAAAGTAACCAAAAGCACCAGCTCCTTTGGCATGGACCACACGTTCAGGGATGCGTTCCCTACTAAAATGAGCCAGTTCGTCGATGAAGTCCCAGTCTTCTAAAAGGATCGGACCTTTTTTGCCCACCGTAAGAGAAGCATCCTTGTTGAAAATGGGCGTGCCAAAGGTGGTAGTCGCAGTTAAGTGGGGTTCATCCTAAAATCATCAACCTAATTAAGCTGTCCTGTGTTTAGAAGATTTCTCAAAATTAACGTTTGAATAGAAAAAAATGTAACAGTTATTTGGGAGCTTTTTGAAATGATAAAATTTGATTAAAAGTTCTCTCCCATGTCAAAATTATATTACTAGTTGTGCATTCCAACATATTATATGGTGACATGAACAAAAATTCAACAAGACAACCATTCTCATTCACAATTGGTTGGGTCAATTATACATATTGACCTCTTGCAGAGTATTATACGTAGATATTTCCTTTGAGTGGGGGTGAAATAAACAGCAAAATTCGTTTGAAGCTCACATAGTCAAGTATAGCCCCATAGTGAGTAACGTGGTCAATGACCACGTCCCAGCGAAAATCAACGACTTGCGTTCGCCAACCCCGACAACTACGAATTTTTACGAGTTCAAGTTTCCACACCGCACATTTCACTTCATTTTCATAAATGTCTTTTATTATGAACTCGAAATGACGTCGGTAATTCAAGAAAAACTGAAGAAATTTTGTGGTACGTAGATTAGAAAATTTGGTAGGTTTGCATTATATAATATATAATTGACCCTTTAGTAGAGTTAAATGCGAGCCGCCACTGGATACGTGTTGCAAAAGACAAACATCTGATTTTTTTCCAGACAAGCTATGGATGAATTTACCATCCACAAAATGTTAAAACAGTAACAAAACTTTTAAATAGGTCAAACAAAAATTGCACAAAAATATTTTCTCATGAGACAGGAAATACTGCCAAATGTAATAATTATCTAAGTACCTCGATTTTTTTGGCGAAATCCGACAGTTGACAGCCTGCAGGGTCATCACAACTTTCTTGCGGCATATTTAACACTAGTGAAGGTGAAGGTCGACTTATTTTTTATATACAAAGTACCCAGCTATTATCAACCAGGAAATGGTGCATAAACAGATAACCAGCAGTGGTAGATTTGATGTAAAAATAATTTAAATTTACATAATGCACGACTGTGTTACTAAGATATAACAAAAAAATTCTCTTCACCAAAAGACCGATAAATCGTTTAATTGTGACCCCTCTAGATCATTCATTTTTTTTCTGTATAGTCCACTGCTTGTATTTATACAGCTGAACCGCTTATTGTAGGTAGTTCAAATTGTTTCACAATCTAAAAACATTCCAACTTAAAAAATACAACTTTATGCATGAATCTTTATTCTCTTTAATCCGTGTTCATAGCTAAATCGTAACAAAGCCACACCTTCAGCCCCGCCCCCTTACAACTCCGCGTGGGCATGAGGTTGCAGCTCCGCCTGAATCCCCGCCTTGATTCTTCTCGCAAAATCGCTGTCCACATTCCCGAAATATTTCACCGCCCTGTCTTGCAGAAAGTCTGTCGCATTCTTCAACCCGTCTACTATATTCTGAATAAGCCTCCCTCTTTCTTCTGGGTTCAACACCCTCTGGTACAACAACCTCGCTTGGCTATAATTATCCCATTCTTCGCCTCCGTTGTCGTACCTCGCCGCGTTTCCAACAATGGGTAGGACTGGACTCAAGTCTCTCGCCCTCTTATCCGAATCCGGTCCTCCGAAGCTGTTTGGATGGTAGTTAGGTGCCCCTCCTTGACTATCCAGCGTCATAGGCCCATCTCTACTGAAATTATGCAACTTGAATGGGCTGTTGACAGGCAATTGCGAGACGTTGGGGCCTATACGGTATCTGTGGGTATCCCCGTAGTTGAACAGGCGACCCTGAAGCATCCTGTCGGGCGAGGGTTCGATCCCTGGGATCAAGTGTGCCACATCGAAACCTATAGTACAAGAAATTTACGTCTATGAAGCACGATCTCACTTTACAAACCGATTTGTTCCACTTCTGCGAAGTAGTTTTTGGGGTTGCGGTTGAAGACGAGTTTGCCCACAGGGATGAGTGGGTACTCGGCGTGCAGCCAGACTTTGGTGACGTCGAAGGGGTCGTAGGGGCTAGAGGCGGCCTGCTCGGGGGTCATGATCTGGATGTAGAAGGTGTAGGAAGGGTAGTTCCCGGAGGCGATGGCATTGTAGAGGTCCCGGATGAGGTAGTCGGGATCTTCGCCTGCGATTCGAGTGGCGTCACGGGAGAGAAGGTTGCGAATACCTTGGTCGGTAGTGGAACTTGCAATAGTAGAATGAACCAAAATCGTTGACAAACGCAAAAGTGTTGGAACCGTAGCCGTGCATGTTGCGGTAGCTGGCGGGGATTCCTTGAAGAAAAAAGTTCATCGAAGGTTATTTCCTTCCACACTATATATTTTTTCGAATTCTTCTTTCTGTCACTCACCTCTGTCAGAGAAGAAAATCAACACCTGGTGCATAGTCTCCGGCCTCAGCGTGATCATATCCCAAAACATATCCCAGTCCCTCAAATGCGTCACAGGATTCCTCTTCAAAATATGAATAAAACTCGGGAACAAAATTGAATCCCTGATAAAGAAAATGGGCGTATTGTTCCCCACCAAATCCCAGATACCATCTTCAGTATAAAACTTCAAAGCAAACCCTCGAACATCCCTAACAGTATCCGGATAGCCCATCTCTCCAGCCACTTGCGAAAAACGTACAGCAATGGATGTTTTTTTCCCAATGTGGGCGAAAACTTTCGCTGCTGTGTACTGCGTGATATCATGGGTCACTTCAAAGTAACCAAAAGCCCCAGCCCCTTTGGCGTGGACCACACGTTCCGGAACACGCTCCCTACTGAAATGGGCAAGTTCGTCGATCAAAACCCAGTCCTGGAAAAGAGTTGTGCCCCTTTTACCCACTGTAAGAGTGGCATCTTTATAGGTAATAGGGTTTCCGGAACTGGTCGTAGCACTTTGGGGCTCCTCATCCTAAAATGTTAACGGTTATTTTGAAAAGTAGAAACATTTGGCACTCACTTCGATTTTTTTCGCGTAGTTGAGCAACTGGTTGGATGCAGGCTCCCGGATTTTGATATGTGGTAAATATGACATTTTTACAACTAAAGAAATAACGGATGGTTCAGTTTTATATACATTACAATCTTGTTTATACAACGAAAATTTTTTCCTTTTTTTCACATTAATTTAACCGTGATTACAGTTTTAACAATACGAGATAAGATTTAGTGTTGTCTTCTTCGAGAAATCAACAGGAAGGACTAACCACAAAGTCTCGTTCGTGTCATTCACACCAACAACATGTTTCTTGTTCGATTTTCGTTGACGATCTTCTGGGAAATAAGGCCCGGTAGAACAGGTATCCACTTGGTTTCGATTTCGGGTTGGGGCTTCTCTGTTATGTCGTGGATGGCACCCGATTTTTTCACAACCATGGGTTTTAAAAAACGGGGACTTAGAGGGGAAATTTTGGTTCTCACCCATTTGATGCAATAACCTTCGGGCATTTGTTTTCTTGGTTCCAGGTGGTGTAGAGTGCCGCATAAAAAAAAATTAAATTTTTCTACAACTTCTTTGAACTGTTCGCAACGACAAATTTCCATTTTTAGTGACGCAAATGTTGACAAAGATGACAAAATGTGTAACGTAAAAATGAGTGTTTATCCCTGACTGCTTGATGTTATAAAATTATACTTTTTCAGCAACTACAGTTCACTATTTGTTTACTCAAACCCGTCACAAATCTGGAGTATAGTAATTTGTTTTTCATAATAGTTATTTTTATACTTTTTATTGGCAGAAATTCTTTTTTATTGTTCTGTCAACATATAGGGATACTAGATTCCTCCACCTCCTCATTGCGGGTTTCTATAATCCCTAAATACTTAAAACTTTTTGAGACAATAATTTTAAACTAAACAGCAGAGTGATTTTATTTAACAATAACGATCTTTATTAATCGAAAAAACTGACAATTAAAAATGACACTTTAAAGCTCAGTCACTCACTCCCCTTTTCTATGAAAACCTGAAATCTCCCCTGCAGCCACATCAGCCCTAATGCACCCAAAACTCTTATCCTGCATGCGATCCTGTGAGCAGAATCCGTTGATGAGCTCCCACGCCTCTACCGGTTTATCATCGGCTAAACGCCGTCTAACCCTCCCTTATGCGTCTCGTAATCCGCTCGATAAATCCGCAGAGGCGGCGTCGGCGTCGCGACGCTCACGCCTTCCTGCTTTCCTGCTAGCCGAGACGCCGCTCGCGTGAAAGCACGCCTGAAAAGCGACGCTTTCAGTTTTCACTCATGCCACCTGTTGCGCGCTGAAAGCAGGGCTTTCAGGACAGGTCGAATGAAACGGTGTGGGAAAATCAGGAAAATCGGAAAGTCGAGTTAATGACGCTATTTTAGGCGTCGCGGCGCAGGAACGACGCTATATTGGGTAATTTTTTAATTAATATTATATTAATAATAATATTGTCTTTATTAAAATCAAAATATATCATAAATTAGTTCAAAATACTTCGAATGATTTTAACAGGAGTATTATTGGAAAATTGGTGGTACAGTCAGCAGTTTTTAACAAAAACGAACAATTATTAAAAAAAAAAAGAAGAATGAATGCTATTGTGCCGATTATTATATTTGAAACTGGTAAATTTGGAGTTATATAATTGTTTTAATAATAATATTTTTATAATTTAGTAAAAAAACTACATAGCCATTGTTTAACACGTATCAACAGCTAAAATTACTACTGAACTGAAAATTGCCTTTTAAATTGAAAAAGTCTTAGTTCGCGTCCATTTTTGGACTTTTGAGGTCAGTACTTTTATTTTTACAAACTATGAAGTAACTGTCGCGTCAGACTCAATTGAAAAGACGTAGCGGCTAGTTTTCCTTGCCCCGCCGTCACTGATCGGACAAATGACTCAATTGATTGGTCCCTTCTACGCCATCTATTCGGTTGAAAATATTGGAAAGGAACAGGGCGATAGGAACGTGCGATGGTCGATTTTGGGTCCCGCCATTGGTCGCTTTTGCTGTCAGTGTCGGTGGGTATCGGAAATCGTTGCCGAAAAGGCGCTGCCACAATACCACCGATGGGGGTCGACGCAACAGTTGCCAAGTATTGGAAAATGACAGGGTTGTATGAGCTTCTGGGGACAGAGAAAAGGGAATTAAAAATGGTAATTGGTGAATTTTTAGATTTGATTATGCGGAAATGTAGTTTTTTGCTTCCTGGGGGGAGTGGCGACCTTGTCGGAACGATGATTTCTACGGGAAGGAAATTCATTAGGACAATGTTTACTTTTAATGTAGATCCACAATGGGCGATAAGAAATCGTCGGTATGGCGAATTTCCGGTCCGTGGTCGATTCGTTGAGGCGTCATTGAACTGTGGATGATTCTTTGTGATCGAGTCGTAGAAAAAATGGTGTATATATCAGCTTACTTAATTAAATTGTTCCACAAGACACAATATCCAAGTGTTATCCTGCTAACTTCTATATGTAAATTTCGTAATTTTCTGTTCTGGACGCTAATTTATTGCCTAGTTGCTTAATTTCCAATTCTTAATTACAATTTCATAGGTGACTGAAAATATAGCAAATAACGACATTGTAAATCTCGCTAATATACAGGGTTTTTACTAAATATGCCACAAACATTCATGGGGTCATTTCTTGGATATTTTAAGATTTTTTTGTCCTGGAATAATTTTCGGATAGACGCTTTGTTTCAAAGATACAGGACGATAAAACTAACGACTTAAATCCCTTGGATTTTTATTTATAGGAGCATTTGAAAACATCTTAAGAACAGATCTTAAGCGAACATTTTCACTTCCCGAGCTACTTTCATGTTTTCTCGTCGTTTCATGACCCCAACAGCACGAAAAAATAGGTCTCCCGTTTCAGTCTGTCTCTGTGACATTTGTCTGTCGTCTGTCTGTTTGTGTCGATTTTTACTAGACTACTGGACCGATTGTTGTCAAA